GCCTGGAAGCACAAAAGGGATACTGAGGAAGGGCTACCACCCCCGATCTGACACAATGAAAGAAAAAAGATGCAAGTTGTTGAGGCAATGGTGCTCAGATCTCTGAGGAAGGGGCATAGCCACTGCTGATGGCGGCTCTACTGGAAATAGAAGGTTCTGGAAGCTCCAGGAAAGCCCGACAGTTACAGGCAGCTGCCTCTCTCTGAGCAACACTAACTTAGAAAAGTAGGAGTCCATTCTCTCTCTAGCACCACCTGTTGGCAGAATGTAAGAAGTCAGCTTGTGAGGGCGTAGTCTGCAGAAGGATGGTGGGAGCCGAGAGACAAGTGGGGTATGACTGGTGCACGGGGCCGGGTGTTAGCTGGAAACACCCGTGAAGTAGGATGGCAGGCAACATCCATGAAAAATAACTGGGACAGGTGCAAAAGGAAAATAAGCTCTGTGGCCCACATTTTCCCAGAAGTGAGAAAGGAGCAAGCAAGAAGTCAATGGAATGCTATTGCAAAACACACCCCATTGATGCCTAAAGAAAGCACATTCTCCTCTAACAAACTCTTCCACAATTGTTTAGTTGATGGGTGAGAATTAGCGAAGATAACAGCTACTAAGTGGTAGTGATTTTTCCTACAATTCACATATTTATAGCAGGTGTTTCACTCTGCTTAGCTGCCAGCCAGAGCACTGCAGCCAATGACTGGACTTTATATGCATTTAACACTTGTTATTTTTTTTTTAGCAGAGTCTATTAATTTATCTAATCCTCCTTCAGGTCCACTCATCCATAAAAATATGATGTATTCAGAAATACGTCTATTTCTCTGGTGTGTGCAAAAGGGAAACAAGCCAGACTAAAAACGCTACGTATTGCATGATTTCATTCCTACAATGTTCTGAAAAGGGCAAAGCTATACAATGGAAAATCCTAGATCAGTAATTGCCAGGGCTTGGGAAAGGAGAAGTAGTTGATTACAAAGAGGTTGCAGAAGGGAATTTTTAGGGGGATAGAACCATTGTGCGTGGCGAAGTAAGAGAGGATTAATGACTCTCTGTACTTGTTAAGACCCGTAAAACTTGATAGCACAAAAACGTGAATTTCAATGTATGCAAAGTAAAAAAATACATAAAGCAACAGGATGTTAGGGAAACCCCAGAATGGAAAGTAAAATGTGATAAAAGAATCTCACTGTGTTACAATATATGACATAACCTCACTGCAGGATATGGGTGGGGGCAAGGGAGGAGTTGAACTAAGTAACTTTGGAAAACAGTATTTTGACTGCAAAATGGAAAGCTAAACACAAAAGCAGCTGTACCTGTTCAATGTACTCTAGTTGGTAATGCTGTTTCTCGTGGGATTCCTGGTTAACAATTCCAGAACTGTGTTCCATGTACAGCAGGTTTGACAAATAAGAAGTAAATAGACAGTGGAGGACAGTAACCAGTTTTCTTGCTGTTCAAGAGGAAAGTTATAGAAAAGCAAAGGTAGAAAGCTAGGATGAAGCAATTTGTCCTGGATGAGAGACATCAGCATGAAGTCAGGTTTAGCTTTATATATATAAGTAATGAATACATTATAGAAATCCTTTGGTACATGTGTATATGCAGTCAGTTCCTAGGTCTGTCCACTGGGAGAACCTAGAAGCAGTAACCCCTGTGTAACAATAAGCCTCCCAAGTTCCCCGATCTCAGTTACTGTTCTCCAACGAAGAAACCAAGGCTCCTCGGGGAAATGGCTGGTTGCAGGACTGGTGCAAGCAGCATGCAAAAATGAGCCTGGAGTATCTTGTAGAGTGAGAAAGTAAGAAAATGCTCAAAAATCAAAGTGATGGGGGCATGCATGTCAAAGGGACTTAAGAGACAACCTGAAGGAGCTCCCAATGGCTGAAGCTAAAACAAGCTGAGCAACAAAAGAATGTAGCATTTTATTGTAGCCCTAAATGCAAAATAAAAATCCATAAATCCATGCTGCTCTAAATAAGTAAATAAATAAAGACAAATCTTCCCTTACAGAAGGATGACAATTTATGTAAATACTTTCTCCAGGAAGTGACAGGCTTGCAAAGAGTAGCATATGAAGAGGGATGAAGAACATAACTCCACTGCAGAGAGACGTGACAAACACTGCCTCGGCCAGAGACTTAATGTTAACCTCATTAGTTGACAGCACGCACTTTTGATGTGATATGATGGGAAAGGCATTTCACCTCTATGGCAGCCTTCCCCAAAGCCCATAATCCCAGTCTAACTGTGAGAAAATTAAGGAAGATTTTACAATATCCCTAACCAGGACTCATCAAAACTGTCAATGTCATTTTTTAAAAAGTGGAAAGGCTGAGATATTATTAGCAATAAGAGAAGAGAGAAGAGACACAATGACAAAGTGTCATGTGGTATCTTCAAGCAGAAAAAAGACATTAGTGGAAACAAATAGTGACATCTGAATAAAATGTGGAGTTCAGTTCTCAGTAATGTACTGTGTGTCAGTTTCTTGGTTGTTGCAAATATACCACAATAACGTAAGACACTAGCAATTAGTGAAACTGGATGAGGGGGATAGGAAAACTCTATTATCTTTGCGACTTTTCTATAAATCTAACACTATGCAGAATTTTTTAAATTTGCTAAAATACCATTGATATGGTTTGGATGTGTATCCCTTCCAATTCTGGTGTTGAAACAGAGTCCTTAATGTTGGAGGTGGAGCCCGATGAGACGTGTTTGGGTCATAGAGGCGGATCCCTCACGAATGGCTTGGTGCCTTCCCTATGGTAATGAGTATGTTCTTGCTGTGAGTTCCCGAGAGATACGGTTGTTTACAAGTGTGTGTCACCTCCATCTCTCTTGTTCTTACTCTCCATGTGACACACTGGCTCCCCATCACCTTCTGCCATGATTGGAAGCTTCTTGAGGCCTCACCAGAAGCAGATGCTGGCACTAGCTTTCTGCAAAGCCTGTAGAACCATTAGCCAATGAAACATCTTTTCTTTACAAATTATCCAGCCTCAGGTATTTTTTATAGCAATGCAAAAATGACCTAATACAACCAATTACAAAACATTCTCAACTATAAAAAATACCTAGAGATAAAATGAACAAAGATATATTAGATTGCTATGTAAAAAAAAACCCAAGTTGTTGCTGAGACATTACATTTAATCCAAACAATAAAAATGATATGCTGTGTTCGTGGATTGCAAGACTGAATATTATTAACGTAACAATTGTCCCAAACCTAACTGATAGAACCAAGCAGAATTCTTTTTTGTAGAAGTTGACAAGGCGAGCAGAATTCTTTTTTGTAGAAGTTGACAAGACAGTTTTGAAATTTATATGGGTATGCCAAAGGGATCCGAAATAACCGTGAAAAAAAAAACACAGTTGGAGCACTTATTCCACCTAACTTCAAGACTTACTTTTTTTTCCCCCTTTTTTTGAGATGGAGTTTCGCTCTTTTGTACAGGCTGAAGTGCAGTAGCACAATCTCAGCTCACTGCAACCTCTGTCTCCTGGGTTCAAGTGATTCTCCTGCCTCAGCCAACTGAGGAGCTGGAATTAACAGGCTCCCACCACCATGCCCAGCTAATTTTTTGTATTCTTAGTGGAGACGGGGTTTCTTCACGTTGACCAGGCTGGTCTTAAAGTCCTGACCTCAAGTGATCTACCTGCCTCAGCCTTCCAAAGTGCTGAGATTACAGGCATGAGCCACCATGCCTGGCCAAGACTTACTATTCCGTAAGTCTATAATCAGAACTGTGTCATATTCACAACAACAAAAATAGATAAGTTGATCATTGGAAAAGAATACAGAGCCCACAAATAGACCCACTTACATACAGTCAAATGATGTTTGAAAAAATGTCAAAGCAATTCGACAGAAAGGAAAATCTCTTCAACAAATGATATTGGAACAACTGGAATCTAATATGGTATAAAGCTCAGTATAATAAACCACAAATTTATTTAAGACAGATCACAGGCTAGATGTAAAAACCGGAACTATAAAACTTCTAGGATAAAACATAAGGCAAAACAATCTTCTCACCCTAGGGATACAAAGTTCTCTTAGAGAAGACACAAAAACACTAATCATGAACAAAGTGATAGATGGAAGTTCATCAAAATTTAAAACTTTTACTCATCAAAGAAACCATTAAGAAAATTAATGGGCAAACCACAGAACTGGAAGAAAATATTTACAACACATATATCATGTGAAGGGCCCATATCCACCAAATGTAAAAACGTTTGTAACTCAATGATAAAAGAAAAATGACCTAATAAAAATAGGCAAAGATTGAAGAGATACTGCCAGAAAGAAGTACATACCCCCAACTCTCTTGTCCTTCTTATAATTCTCACATAGCAAAAGCAGGATCTTGGTTAAACTCAACTTTCTGCCTCTCCTGCTGCTGCACACAAGTTGAATTTAGGTGGAAAAATACATACAAACACACTCGCCTCAATTTAAGTTCATTATTATCCCCCTCAAGTGGAATTTAATACTGCCTGCAATTGTACATACTTGCTTAGATAATTCTCTTCTAGTCTCCTGAGTGACAATTTAACTCCCTATCCTCTTTGCTTAAATTTCCAATACCTTCTCCCCATCCTTATTCTGAGTTAGACATATGGCTCCTTACCTCATTGAGATCTTCAAAGCAATCAGCAGACAAGCTCCACAGATTTCCACCACAATTTCTCCCCACCTGCCGGTGTCTGCACCCACATGTTCTGTCTGCCTGTGTGGACCTACGCAAAAACCATGCACACCTCCATCTAAGGCAACAGCTGTACTAAGGCACGAAGCTCCTGACCCCTTGCTCACATGGGGAACCTCCTTCCAGCAATTAATTCTTCTCACCCATTTTTAGCTCTGTACCATATCATTTCTATCAGTCAAGAAACATGCCACTAGTTCTTAAAAATAAACAAAACCAAAAAGTCCTCTTCTCTTGATCTTACCTCACCCATTCATTATTATACAATTTCTTTTTTATGAAAATATTTAGTATTTCATTGTATTCCTCTACATATAAAACCAATTCAAATTGTCACTGGATTAGTAGGTTTGAAACTTTTCTGACTGTATTGAGCACAATCTTACTACTATAGCACATAAATTTTTGATTGAAGGTAATTCACTCTAATTTTTAAAATAATCTGCTTGGTCAGGAGCGCATTGCTTTGCTGGCATCTGTGATCAGCTGGAGATGGCAGTGAACAGTCTGGTTGCATTTCTTGGAAGAAGATCTTTTATTCTGCTGCTCAACCCAGGTCTCTGCCTTCCTTAGAGACTGAGGCTCATCCATCAGTTTCCCTGGAGAACGGCCTGCAGCCTCCCACTCAGGTCTTGGCTATGCTCATCTAATCCCTCCCAGGGCTGGAAGGGGTGGCCCCGGTGATCCACAAAGGTGTCCCAGCAGTGCCTAAACTCGCTGTATTTCATCACGGAAATTGAGGCCCCAGCTCTGTCCAGCCTGCGCAGGCCCTTTTTATATCCTCGTTGATAATCATAGATGCGGGCAGCGAAGATGCGCAGGTTCACGTGTGGGTTCTCTTGAAGGAATTCAGCCACCTTCTCAGCACAGCTGAAGCAGGGGCTCCAGGAGATGAAGCAGGTGACCCTATAGCACTGGGCCAGGTCCAGCTTCCAAAAGGAAATCGGGTCCAGGAGGCACAGCTCTGCATGGCGGCCTTCAGGGAAACCGGGATTATTTGAAGCCTTGTTGAGTATGAAGCCCCTGTGCTGGTGCCATTGTGCATGTGCTCCACCTCATAACATACAATTTCTTTGTTCTCCTTTGCAGCAAAACTCCTTTTGTAACAATAACAATGGCAACGAAGTCACGTAATCCTCAGGTTTCCAATTTATTTCCTCCCATTGTCTTTTAAATTCATTCAAGTTCAACTTTACCCAAAACAGCCAAGTTTAAACTTTACCCAAACCACTCCTCTCACCAAAGTTGCCAATAAGCTCTCTCTGTTGTTAATTCCAATGTCAATGATAAGTTCTTACTTTTGGTTTTTTGCCACATCCACAATATTTTCAACTGATTATTCCTTCTTTCTTTGACATATTTTCACTTGGTTTCCAAGACATCAAACACTTTCTTTTTTTTTTTTTTTAAATATATATATTTTATTGCATGTTAGGTTTCGGGGTTCATGTGAATAACATGCACGATTGTTGCATAGGTACATATATGGCGATGTCATTTACCAAACACTTTCTTAGCTTGCCCTTCACCTCACTGATTACTGAGTCAGTCATCTCTGTCATCTCTGCTCTGCTTCTTCTGCCTCACCTTTTAATTTCAGTGTGTCCTGGGGCTCAGTGTTTGGTCTTGTTTTCTTCTCCACCTCATGGAATCCCTGGGAGAAATTATTTGGTTAACAAAATTAGAGCTGCTGCCAGATCTCTTTCCTGAACTCCACATTTGTTTGCCCAACTATCTATTCAACTTCTTCACATGAATGCCTGATAAATATCTCAAATTTGGTATGTCCAAAACTTCATTCCTATACACTCCATTCTTCTAGTTGCTTAAGCTAAAAAAGCATCTAGTCAACCTTGACTCTTCCTATTTCTCCCAAATTCCGTACATGATCCAATGCTCTCTCGGCTTTCAAAGTAGAAAGATTTGTTCAGAGTCACCAGGCTGTAACCAAGATGTTGGTCAAGCTGTTCTTCCCTCACATAGGGAAGAAATCTGCTTCCAAGCTTATTCAGGATGTTGGCAGAATCTGACTCATTATACCTCTGGCTGCCATCTTGCCTATGAGTTATCACCACATACTTGCACCTAGAAAATGAGTCGAGACCATTTCATTTCCCACCAAACATAAAGCACATTTGTAGCCATCAAACACAATTATTGAAACCTCGTTTGGAAAACCAATTTGGATCAGGAATTGCATGTTAATATTACCACGTAAACTAGAATGTACTGCAAAGAAGTCTTATTGATTCTGGAAGATTTCTTTGACTAGTTAGAAGTGACAGTAAGTTCCTTACCCATCTTTTTTGCCTTTGTTTTCATCTGAGAATCGTTTTTCAAGTAACAGAACTCTATGGGGGGCATACTCATTCTTATACGAAACTTCCAAGACTTTTAAGTTACACAAACTTTTTTCAGAATGTCCAAGGGGATAATTATCTTCCTGCAGAGATAAGCAAGACTTCATTATTCTATCTAAAGCCTACAGTAGACTTGATTTTTTGACTTCTAAACTCTGAGTACAAATAATATCTGTATTTAAAGTTTTCCTTTGAGTCCGTTAGTCAGTATAATTCAACACTTGACACAAGGATACATGCATGAGAGTACATGTGTCCACTGCTAATGTTCTTTGATGATAACAGAGAACTTTCATCATATGTAGTACGTCTACATTCTTTCATTAGCCTACTATATGCCAGATGACCTGCACAACTTTAGAGGAAGTGCTCATCTCCATTTTCTTTTGTTTTTTGTTTTGAGATGGAGGCTTGCTCTATCACCCAGGTTGTGTCTCAGCTCACTGCAACCTCCACCTCCCAGGTTTAAGCGATTCTGCTTCCTCAGCCTCCCAAGTAGCTGGGACTATAGGTGTGCACCAGTGGCTAACTTTTTGTATTTTTAGTAGAGACAGGGTTTCACCGTGTTAGCCAGGATGGTCTCAATCGCCCGACCTTGTGATCTGCCTGCCTCTGCCTCCGAAAGTGCTGGGATTACAGGCATGAGCCACCGCACCTGGCCCTGATCTCCATTTTCTAACTTTATTCTACTTTTGAAAACACTGAGACTACATTGTCATAATTAAGCATTATTTGGGGGTTCAGATAAGGCCCTTCTCTAAGAGGTGGTTTTTACATAAAGGAGAAAACTGGCCTTGGTTTTATAAGATTTGGATTCACTTCTGCCTCTATCACTCCTCGCTGGGAAACTTGGGTAAACGACTTAATCTCTCAGCTTCAACAGAATACTTACACATCTTGTAGGATTATAATGAGTATCAAGTGAGGTAATGTGGGTAAACACATATTAAAACTGGTAAAAGTTCTGCTCAAGTGTAATTCAACAATTTCCACAGCCAGTTTACCTTGGAGAATAAACACACTTAATCATAGCCTGATAAAATTTTCTTGTGGCACACTGGAGTCTTACAAATGCCTAAGGAAGGACAGATCGTAAAATAATATAGTAACCCAGGTGGAGAAACTGCACATGGCATTGCTCTGCCTGCATCGTGCCACACTGCAAGGGATAAGGCCGGGGCAGAGTTAACCTTCTGGTTTTGAACTTTCTTACATCCCTTGCTTTTGCAGTGTATACGTTTTCTTTTGCTTCATATCAAATTATCATAAACGTAGTGGCTTAAAACAGTATACATTTATTTCATAGTTAGGAAACTAAGTATAGCCTAGCTGGGTGGTTTGTTCAGAGTCACTAGGCTGTAACCGAAGTGTCAGTCAGGTTATATTTTCATTCAATGGCTCAACTCGGGAAGAATCTGCTTCCAAGCTTATTCAGGATGTTGGCAGAATTAATCTCCTGTGGCTGCATGACTGAGGGCCATGCCTTTTGCTGGCTGTTGACTGAAGGTTGCTCTGAGATCTTAGACGCTGACTGCAGATCCCAGAGCACATCCACGGTTTCTTGCCAAATTAGACTTCTCCAGCTTGGCCGCTTACTTCATGAAGCCTCCGAGGAGAGACTTTAGCTTCAATCTACTAGGATGGAGTATTATATAAAGTAATGTAATCATGGCCATGACATTCCACCACCTTTGTATATACAGCTAGTGCTCAACTTACGACCACGGTCGGGACCGCAGACCCGTCATAACACGATTTGGTCGTAAGTTGAGTAGGCTATATGTACAGTTGAAATGGTGCACGCGGAGATGGTAGTGCTGCCGGAAGCTGATCTGCACTGTCGTACGCCCAGCTGGGCAACGTTTGCGCTGCCAGACACGGAGCAGTCGTGGCTAGCGATTGTGGTCGTAAAGTCGAATGGTCGTAAGCTGCATAGGTGGTAAGTCGATCAATACCTGTAATACCACCTAATCATCCATTATCTTTGCCACATTGGTTAGAAGCAAATCACTGGTCTTGCCTACCCTCAAGGGGAGAGGATTCCATAAGGGCATGGACTCCAAGAGGCGGGGGTGATATGGCTTCACAAAAGCCTGTTCATCATCAGCAGCACCTATAATTTTTTCCAGAGAATCAAAGACTTGGGATAAGTTAGAGGGAAGGTTATATAGTTATCATAAACCATCAGAAAAATTTTCTTTTTTTCTCCAGATTTTATATACGAAGATTATAACCGTCCAGTACCCTGTTCATTAGAAATCTTGAGTATCAGAGATCTACCCTCTATGGAGCTTTATGGCAATGATTTTGTTCCAGCTGCTCAGTAGCAGGAGAAAATGTTTTATTGAGGTATGTTCAAAACCAAGGAATAAAGACACCACAGGAATGGCTAAAAGGGGGTGATTATTAGGATTTACTTAGAATGGATGAACGGTGGCTTCTCTGTGTACTCAACATTTTTGCTTTGTCTCTCCCTCTTTCTTTCTCTCTCCCTCTCTCTCTCTCTCTCTCTCTCTCAGATGCCATTTAGCTCTTGTTGCCCAAGCTGGAGTGCAGTGACATGATCTCGGCTTACTGCAACCTCCACCTCCTGGCTTCAAGTGCTTCTCCTGCCTCAGCTTCCTGAGTAGCTGCGACTACAGGCAGTTGCTATCACGCCTGGCTAATTTTTTTGTATTTTTAGTAGAGACAGGGTTTCTCCATGTTGGTCAGGCTGGTCTTGAACTCCTGGCATTGTGATCCACCTGCCTTGGCTTCCCAAAGTGCTGGAATTACAGGCATGAGCCACGTGCCTGGCCCTGCTCTCTCTTAACTTCATCTATCTCACTCTTGACTTTGGTTTATCACTCTCTCTATGGTCTTAGCTCTAGCTCATATCCTCCTGACTTCAGCCTCTTTTGGCAACTCCAATACTTCTATGAATTTTGTTCAACTTCCTAAGACAGAGAGTCCATTGTCTAGCTCACTTAAAAAAAAAAAACGGCCACTATTATAGATCACAAGGTGATGATGAGCCTATGTATTGTTTTCTCATGGGTCCACATACACCCTGCTTCTATTAGCTAAATCTTGGGGTTGAAGTACACTGTTCAAAGCTTGTTCAAGTTGCCGTAGCTTCCTTTTGCAATGACTATAGAAAGAAAAGCCTCTGGCTGGGCGCGGTGGTTCACACCTGCAATCCCAGCACTTTGGGAGGCCGAGGTAGGTGGATCACCTGAGGTCAGGAGTTCAAGACAAGCTGGGCCAATGTGAAACCCTGTCTCTATTAAAAGTACAAAAATTCGCTGGGCATGGTGGCAGGTGCCTGTAATCCCAGCCACTTGGGAGCCTGAGGCAGGAGAATAGTTTGAGCCCGGGAGGTGGATATTGCAGTGAGCCAGGATCGCGCCACTGCACTCTAACCTGGGCGACAAGAGCAAGACTCCATCAAAAAAAAAAAAAAAAAAAAAAAAAAAAAAAAAAAAAAAAAAAACAAAAAAAAAAAAAAAAAAAAAAAAGAAAGAAAGAAAGAAAGAAAAAAAGAAAGCTTCTGTAATAATTCAGTGATGGTCATTTTCAGTCAAAAAGAAAAACAATCACCATATCCATTATTCTCAAATATTTCTAATATTTCTGAAAAAATATCCAATCTGTTTAAAATTTTTTAGTTTTCAAAAAGAAAACTAATTATCATATTATTAAGGGCATGATGGTCTAAAATTCTGCAGTAAGATACCATTATAGTAAGAAATCTTAAAAAGATGAAGACAGCATAAAGTGTAGCAGCTGGATTTGAAAACAATATGTATAAATTTAAAATGCAATCAAACTAAAATGAAAGAGAGACTAGCTACTGCTGAGAAAATGCTTTGATGGTCTGCAAGATCAAATGAAAAAAAATTTTACAAGGAACATAAAAAAATTAAAACCATAAATGAGAATAGAAAAACCTTAGAGGATAGATACAATATTCCTAATATGCAAATAAGAAAAATTCTAGAAGAACAAAGATCAAATATAAGAGAAGCAATAACTATAGAAAGAATAGAAATTGCAACTTCAGACATATGATTAATTTGATGAGTGCTTTCAGAAATTCCCCCAACACAATTCATAAAAACAATGTCATGAATAGAAAAAACTTCTGAGCTACTAGTTGTGTCAAAAGAGGTAAGGAAGCAATGAAAATAAGTAAATTGGTTCCCAAATAGTAGGTAGCCCAGAATAGGGCAGTGAATATCTTGGAGACTGTAATTGCTTGAATTCAGTTGCCCATAGCAACACTGCTGTTTGTGTGCTAAGTTCTCATAGTGAGGAAGACCCTCTGGAGACCTGAAGATGAACAAGGTTAATTAAATCTGGCTACCAGCAGAAGCAGAAGTAAATTCACTTAGGATAAAACCTTCCCCAATTGAGGCCCAAATGACTCCCAGAAATTAAGATTAAGCAATAAGCTTACATCAAAGATCAACATTATCAAACATATTACAAGTGAAGCTACTATTAATGGCATTTGGCAGAAACAACAGACAATACATGTAGATACACAAGCATTGCAAATATTGGAACTGTTAAATACAAAACAGAGGTGAAAATCTCAAATGTTCAAAAAATTAAAGATGCTATTACAAAGAAGAGAATGCAACAAGAGACCATCAAATACAGTGCTTTATGTGTTTTAGCAGTGTATAATTGTAAACCACAAGTAAGAGTG